ATTTCCCCCCTTCACCCAGAGGGTGGGCTGTATACCATGCCCCTTCCCTCCTCCAATTTCCCTCCTTCACCCCCCCCACTTGAATTTAATTTTTTTTATTTTTCATGTGGGTGCGCGTTGTTTATATTGGTTTCATATTAGTATTGAGTACATTGGATACTTGCTTTTCCATTCTTGTGATACGTTACTAGGAACAATAATACAGGTTGTATTATCGAGATAAATGCAAAGGATATAAAGTCTCCATCTTTTTATGACTGAATAATATTCCATGGTACATATATATGTGTGTGTGTGTTTGTGTATAATATTCCCTGGTATGTATGTGTGTGTGTGTATGTGTATATTTTGTTTATATATATATCACATTAATATATATGTTAATATATATCACATTTTGTTAATATATATACACACACACATACACATACATACCAGGGAATATCAGTCATAAAAAAGATGGAGACTTTGGGTAGCACCTGTGGCTCAAGGAGTAGGGTGCTAGCCCTATATACTGGGGGTGGTGTGTTCAAGCCTGGTCCTGGCCAAAACTGCAAAAAAAAAAAAAAAAATGGAGACTTTATATCCCTTGTATTTATCTGTATTACTGTCCTTAGTAAAGTATCACATTAATACGTATATATACACACACACACACATATATATATACATGTATATATATCACATTTTGTTAATCCATTCATGAGTTGGTCATTTGGGTTGATTCCACATCTTGGCAATTGTGAATTGAGCTGCAATAAACATTCTGGTATAAATGTCCTTATGGTAAAATGATTTTTTTTTTCTTCTGGGTAGTTATGTAGTAATGGGATTATGGGATCAAATGGAAGGCTTCCTTTTAGCTCTTCAAAGATTCTCCATACTTCTTTCCATAGAGTCTGGGCCCTACGAGCATCTGCAGCTTTGGGACTTGGTGATACGGACTATTCTCTCTGGGGTTAGGTGATATTGCAAGGTGGCTTTGATTTGCATTTCTCTGATTAGAAACTATGAGCAGTTTTTCACGTGTTTGTTGGTCATCCATCTGTCATCTTCAAGCCTCAAGTTCTCTTGCCCACTTATAAATGGAATTGTTTGCTCTTGTTGATTGGTTTGAGTTTTCCATGGATTCTAGTTTTCAGCCCTGTGTTGGAGTCATAGCATGCAATTAATTATCTTCTCCCAGTCTGAAGGCTGTTTGCTTTAGTTGTATTTTTAGCTTGTGCAGAAGCTTTTTAGCTTGATCATGTCCCATTTATTTATTTTTGGTGATGTTGCATGGATCTTTCCTAAGAGAGAAGAAAGCTCTTCTAGAAGGGCCTTTGGCTGACTTCCCTTCACAATTCATTGTCTATCTCAAGTCAATTCCTAAATTAAGTACTAGTCAGATGAATGGAATGCTATCATTAGTCTAGACCGTTAGAGACTGGTCTTTCATTGAATCACCTGATCACCCAATTCCTGGAAAACAGTCTGGATTTTCTTAGCCATGAAGAAGAGTGGAGTTGTTCTGTAGGTAGCCCACAGTATCTGGCAACTCAGGCCTGTAATCCTGGCACTCTGGGAGGCTGAGGTGGGTGGATTGCTTGAGCTCAGGAGTTAGAGACCAGCCTGAACAAGAGTGAGACCCCATCTCTACTAAAAAATATAAAAACTAGCCAGGCACTGTGGCACGTACCTATAGACCCAACTACTTGGGAGACTAACGCATGAAGGATTACTTGAGCCTAGGAGTTTGAGGTTGCTGTGAGCTAGGACACCAGTGCTCTCTATCCAGGGTAATAGAGTAAGGCTCTATTTAAAAAAAATAATAATGAGAGTGGCTAGCACCTGTGGCTTAAAGGAGTAGGGCTCCGGCCCCATATACTGGAGTGGTGGGTTCAAACCCAACCCTGGCCAAAAACTACAAAACAATAATAATAATAATATAATAAATTTTATATATAGTATTTTTCCAACTTCTTTTTTGCATTTTTGCTAGTAATTGCTTCTTTTTTCCTATTTCTTTTGCTAGAACTCCTAACAATTTGGCAGAATTGACGTTTTGACTTTTGTCTGACTCTTGCCTTCCTTTAAATCAGTGGTTCTCAACCTTCCTAATGTCGCAGGCCTATAATACAGTTCCCACATGTTGAGAACCGCTGCTTTAAATGGTTATGTTCATGACCAAGTAATGGTACAGTTAAGGCGATAGTAAGGAGGGCAGAGAGGTCTAGAGAGCACAAAAACAGTGTAAGCAATTTTATTTATTTATTCATTTATTTATTTATTTATTTACT